GTGATGGGCGCTGGGTTGGGTAGTAGCAGAGTCCATAGTCCAGTGCATAAAGCAGAGAGTTCACAAAGAGGAAACAGGAACCCAGTTATGTGCGCTGGGTCAGGAAGCAGCAGAATCCATTGTCCGGCCCATTGGCGAACTATAAATACTTGGGAGGGGGAGAAGGAGATGCTCGGCATCATATGTATGTGTATATGTATATGTGTGTAGGTGTATATGTATGTGCGTGTATAGGTGTATATTTGTGTGTGCTTGTGTATATGTTTGTGTGTGTTTAGGTATGTATATGTGCATGGGTATATGAATGTATGTGTATATGTATATATGGTTTATTGGGGGGGGGGGTTAAAGTCTATCCTGCTGGTTTTTTGTGTGCTTTTAGGGGTGATGGACACTCGTTGGACTATTAGGTGTATTGTGTCAAAATTTCATGTCAATTCGCCCAGTGGTTTCTGAGTTCTGTTAATCCCACAAACGAACATGACATTTTTATTAATATAGACTAGTTGTACCCACCATGCGTTGCTGCAGCCAACTTTCCCTCCCTCTTTCTCTCTTTTCTTTCTCTCCTTCCTTCCTTCCCCTCCCTCCCTTCCCTCTTTCTCTTTCATTCCTTATCTCCTTCCTTCCCTCTCTCTTTCCTCCCTTCCTTCCCTCCCTCTTTCTCTTTTGTTCCTTCTCTCCTTCCTTCTCTCTTTCCTCCCTTCCTTCAGTGATGGGATATATAATTCAATAATATCTGGAGCCCCTGGTGGTGCAGTGGGTTAAACTGCTGAGCTGCTGAGCTTGTTGACCAAAGGTCACAGGTTCGAATCCAGGGAACGGTGTGAGCTTCTGTCAGCCCCAGCTGCTGCCAACCTAGCAGTTTGAAAACATGCAAATGTGAGTAGATCAATAGGTACCACTTCTCTGGGAAGGTAACGGTGCTCCATGCAGTCATGCTGGCCACAAGACCTTGGAGGTGTCTATGGACAATGCCGGCTCTTCGGCTTAGAAATTGAGATGAGCACCAACCCCCAGAGTCGAATACAACTGGACTTAATGTCAGGGGAAAACCTTTACCTTTATCTATATATACATATATGTGTGTATATATTCTATATATTTGTGTATATGTGTGTGTATATTTGTGTATATGTGTACATATGTGTGTGTTGTAATGCATTTTTGGGGGTCTTTTTTGGCTTTTTAAGTCTCTTCTGCTGTGTTTTTCAGTGTTTTTATGAGTGATGGTCACTCGTTGGCCTGAGAGGTGTCTTGTGTCCAAATTTGGTGTCAATTTGTCCAGTGGTTTCTGAGTTCTGTTAATCCCACAAACGAACATTACATTTTTATTTATATAGACTAGCTGTCCCCTGCCACGTGTTGCTGTGACCCAGTCTGTGTATATGTGTTTTGTGTGTGTACATGTGTGTTTATGTATGTGTATATATTTGTGTATATGTGTGTGTGTGTGTGTGTGTATGGGTGTATATAAGTGTTTGTATATATTTGTGTATTTGTATGTCTATATGTGTGCAGGCATATTGTGTGTATGTGTGTGCTTGTCTATATGCATATTTGCGTGTATATATGTATGTATGTGGATATGTATATGTGTGTGCATGTGTATGTGTATATCTGTGTGTATGTATGTGTATGTTTGTGTATATGTGTATATCTGTGTGTGTTTGTGCATATATATGTGTGTGTGTCTATGAACGTGTGCATTCCAAACTTCCAAACTCACAAGTTGTGTATTTTTCTGTTTGTTTGCTTTGTTCTGTTAGAAATGTAATATAATGGACTGGCTGCTCTGACACGACAAATAAATTAATAAATAAATAAACGTGTGCATGTGTATATGTATATGAGTGTATGTGCATATGTATATATTGTGTATTTTTGGGGTTTTTAAGTCTGTTCCGCTGGGGGTTTGTGTGTGTGTGTGTTTGTGGGTGATTGACACTTGTTGGACTGTTAGGTGTATTGTGTCCAAATTTCGTGTCAATTCGTCCAGTGGTTTTTTAGTTACGTTAATCCCACAAACGAACATGACACTTTTATTTATATAGATGAATGACAAACTGTGAGCAGCTAACAGCTGATGTGTAGTGCATGATGCTTAATGGCATCACTAGGGGCCCATCCCCGGAGCTCAGGCTTTATCTTGAAACTTCAGAGCCTGGAACTACCCTGAGATAGCGGTTCTTCCCCATCTCATATGTACCATTTGTGTCAAAAGCATTTTCTTCGATTCACAAGGCGTCCCTCCTTAGTGTTTGTTTGCCGGAATATAGTAAAAAATCAGTTGATCTTTCACATATTTGTGTGCTAAGGTCTGATGCTCCAGTACTGGCAGGAATATATTTTTGGGACTAGACTTTTGTATTTGACTCTTCCTCCCTCTCTCCCTTTCTTTCCCAACTCCTCTTTCCCTCATAAATCTGCCAATATACGTACCCGTCTTGGAAGAAGGCATTGATGATCCGATCCCCTATGGGGTTCACAGCTAGAGTCCCGATATTTTCAAGGTCATATTTACTGCAGAGAGAGAAGAGAGGATACAACTATTGAAAACCTTATCCTGCATATAAAAAGGTAAAGGTTTCCCCCTGACCTTATATCTAGTCTCCTTCCCCCAACCCCGTTTTTTTCTTTCAAACCTCGCCACAATGGACATCCACCCCAGCCTCCTCTTTGTGTCATATCTGATTGCGACAGGAAAACTTGGATTAAGTAATCCTTACTTATCGCAGACCCATCTAAAGACAATAAAGTTAGTTTCTTTAGAAGGCCGATTCCAGACTCAAGAAGCCCCAGGACATTGGAAATCCATAATTCACTCAAGAAAGCATTGTTTCTTTTTGTCCCGCCTCCCTTTCTTCTGATTCGCCAGAGCACCGAGGCGGCAGGAGCTTTCTGATAGGTTCCAGCGTGCTGCAGGAGCCCTGTGATTGGCTCTGGCGTGGGGAGGGCGGCCTAGCCTCCTCCCAGCTGTTATCACGCCAGCCAATCACCCTCGAGCCGGGAGGAGGGTGGGGAGCGGGAATTTTGAAACTCACAAGCCTGTATTTCCTATAAAAATGCCTTTGTTTTCTGTAACCACATGCTCTGATTGGCGAATGATTGCGGCATTGCATCCTTTTCAGCTGAATCGCTAATAAAAACATCTCGGTGGCGCTTCTTCAACTTTGGTGAGATTTCTTCTGGATATTTAGGGAAATTGCTGGAAATCAGGCTTCTCTTTGCTTGCCAAAGTAGCGATCCCTCTTTGGTGGGTTCTCAGGGTCTCTCCTCCTGGAGTAGACCCTCCTAAAGTTCCTATCGATTTCATAATGTCACACTTTTTAAACTTTGCATTTTAACTGTACCCTCAAGTTGCTTCCGACAGTATAGATAGATAGATAGATAGATAGATAGATAGATAGATAGACCATAACCCTTCTTGACTTCCTTCTGCTTACCTGAGGTAGCCCTTTCCATCCTTGTCCAAAGCCTGGAAGCGCTGGTAAAGGCGTAAGACATTAGCTTGGGAGACTGGTGAAGGAGAACAACAACAGAGAGAAGTGTAATGATTAACCAAAGGAAGTAGAGTGACCTTGACATGAATTGATACTAAAAGTCAGCACCAATTAACATTCTCTCTCCACTTACTTAGACTTGATACGCAGGTTCAAACAGACCTTTGTAAAGAGTCCAACCAGATGCTGTTTACCATGTGCCGGGATGACAATAAAGCCGAGCATAGTGTAAACATTCCACAGGTAGAATCATGCCGTTAAACCCTGAGACTTCCAGAGGAACCTGGCAGATCTCAGCGGACAAAACATATTATTGGAGAACACAGAAATGCTGAACCACTCTCACAACCACCATGTCAAGAAGCCGTTGAAATCCACAATGGACAATCTCAACAGAAAGGAAGAAACCATGAAAATGAACAAAATCTGGCTACAAGTATTTAAAAAAACTCTAAAATTAAAACAGTAAATAAAAAACAACACTAAAACACAGGAAACGCCAGACAATGTGTTGTCGAAGGCTTTCATGGCCGGAATCACTGGGTTGTTCTAGGTTTTTCAAGGTTATATGGCCATGTTCTAGAGGCATTTTCTCCTGATGTTTCGCCTGCATCTATGGCAAGCATCCTCAGAGGTAGTGAGGTTTCTCCAGACAAGAAACAATCAGAGATAGTTAATCCTCTCTCAACAAAGGATTCCCCCAGGCAGTACCAAGCCACACCTAAAAACTGTCAGGCCATCCAATGCTAATCAAGGTGGCCAATTGCAACATTCACACCTATTAGGGCTGGGCAGTTTCGTTTCGTTAATTCGTAATTCGTTAATAATTTGTTAATTTTTTCAATTACAAAACGATAACGAACCATTCTGGAGCAATTATGTAAAAAAACGAATTTTCAAAAACGTTTTGTAAATGCTTCGTATTTCGATATTGTATTCGTTTCGTTATTGTTTTGAGGTCGTTTCGTTATTATTTCTGCATGTCTGGGCCAGTTTTATGGTTTAATTAGTGAAAAAAAATTATAATATCACACCAACAGTCAACAACAGAGGGAGAGGGAAGCTTCAGAAGGTTTTGGAGGTTTTTTAGCGTATTTCGCGGTCGTGTCCGCCATTAACGAATCGATTCGTTATTGTTTCGTTAATGTTTTGTAATTTTTTACCATTTACGAAATTTCGTAAATATCGAACTTTTTAAAAGGAAAATTTTGTAATTATTTTAAATATCGAAACAAAAAAAACCCCCAATTACAAATCGATTTTAGAAACAATTTTTTCCGTTGTTACCCAGGCCTAATATATATTTACTTTATTTGTATACCGCTGTTCTCAGCCCGTAGGCGACTCACAGCGGTTAACAACAATAGCAGCAAAAATTCAATGCTAACAACAACAGGATATTTAAAAACAATTAACACAATAACAGATTAAGCAATTAACACAATAACCATTCACTGGCGTCTCATAACTGAAAACATGATCCAAACTCGTCATCCATTGTTCCGTTCCTATATTCATTGCACTGCCTATTCAAACGCCTGTTCAAATAACCAGGTTTTCACTTTTCTCCGAAATACCATTAGAGATGGAGCCGATCTAATGTCCGTGGGAAGGGCGTTCCACAGCCGAGGGGCCACCACCGAGAAGGCCCTGTCTCTCGTCCCCGCCAACCGTGCCTGTGTTGCAGGCGGGATCGAGAGCAGGGCCTCCCCGGAAAATCTCAAAATCCTAGTGGGTTCGTAGGCAGAGATGCGATCAGATAAGTAACTTGGGCCAGAACTGTTTAGGGCTTTATAGGCCAACGCCAGCACCTACAACAGACAAGAGTTCTTTCTCCCATCCTGGACTTTCCACAGATATATAAACCTAATTTTCCTAGTTTCCAACAGACCTCACAACCTCTGAGGGTGCCTACCATGGATGTGAGTGAAACGTCAGGAGAGAATGCTTCTGGAACATGGCCATACAGCCCGAAAAACCTACAACAGCTCAGCAGATGCTGTCGGATCAGTCTGCATCTTCTGCAAACTAACAATGCTTCAAACTCTGCAATTCCCAGGCACAAATTACGGAACATGAAAGGCACTGCAGACTACTTCAACCAGAGAAGTCAGCCATAGCCGAGCACCTGATGAACCAACCTGGACACAGGATATTATTTGAGAACACAGAAATGCTGGACCACTCTCACAACCACCATGTCAGACGACTCAGAGAAGCCATTGAAATCCACAAGCATGTGGACAATTTCAACAGAAAGGAGGAAACCATGAAAATGAACGAAATCTGGCTCAAAAAAATCTAGAATCAGGACAGTAAATAAAGAGCAACACTCAAAATACAGGGAAATTCCATACTGGAAACAATCGGGGCCAGATAATACCTCCCAACAAAGGATTCCCCCAGGCAGCAACCTCCAAAGGATTCCCACGAGCAGCAACCATCCAGGCTTTGAAGTTGCGAGGCCATTCAATGCTAATCAAAGTGGCCAATTGCAACATTTACATTTGCCTCCAACAGACAAGAGTTCTTTCTCCCACCCTGGACATAATTCCACAGAAACTTGCCTAGTTTCCAACAGACTTCTCACCCTCTGCCATAGATGTGGGCGAAACGTCAGGAGAGAATGCTTCTGGAGCATGGCCATACAGCCTGGAAAACACACAGCAACCCAGTGATTCTGGCCATGAAAGGCTTTGATAATAAAAACCCATTGCTCTCTCCCTGCCCCCCTCCCCCCCAAATTGGAAAGCACACATGAGTTCTGCACTTTCCCAATGTCCCATTTGCCAGAGTTTACATTTCCAAAGTAACAATGAAGTTTATGGATCTCATAAATCTCCTTCCCTAATATAACCTGCTGCTCTATCTAGGGACGGGAGGCAGATGTCCTGATATGGGGGAAGCAGAAGCTCATTCAGGTCCAGAACACACTGTTCCAGCACTCCAAATGTTCAGTTTCTGTTCAAAGGACATTTAGCAAGGATATTGTTGTCGAGGGCATCCCAGACCCCTGCCTTCAAGCTGATATGAGCAGCTGCAGGGAGTTCCGCAGTTCCTGAATGCCAAGTTGGGCCAAAACTGATGAAATGTTTTCATCAGTTTTCACCAGCAGCAGCCTCAACCAGGGACTCTTTGCAGTTGTGTGCTCTCTCCTTTCACTCCTTTTTCCAGCCCAAACTATGTAACCCCAATAAAGGCTAATCAAATTGTAACTTTAACCTCTCCAGACTGATACTTTGTGTCCCTTTCTTGCCTGAAACTGTCTAAATGCATGAAAATAACCTTTTCTGGGCCGTGGCGTCCCAGGGAGGCCGAATCTGTGTTCCTTCAAACCGCGGATACGGAAACTCCTCAGGCCCCCCGTATCCGCGAGGCCCCTTCCTTTTCCCCCTCAGCCGCTTAAGCAGCTGATGGGGAAAAGGAAAGGGCCTGAGGCTGTTGGGAATTGTGGGAGTTGAAGTCCAAAACATCTGGAGGGCCCAAGCTTGCCCATGCCTGATATAACTACTTGGGACAATTCCCCCTTCCTAGGCTTTAAGTGTTATTTGCCTGGATAGCAAAAAGGAATCATTAGGCAGAGTTCCAATGCTGATCTTGGCATATGGAGAGCTCCAACATAATTTAGGATCCCAACACCGCTTTGACCCTGGCCTTCCCTCCCAACCAGGGGTAACTCTTCCCAATATTTCTTCTCTTTGAGAAAACACATGCAATTCGCGGAAAAGGGAAGAAAACAAAACTTCTCCAAAGTTATCCTTACAGCCAGTTTCTGCCATGATCTCCTCTTGTTCCGGGACGATGAAAGGCTGAGAATTTTGTGCTCCCATCTCGAGGTCTTCCCTCTCTCACTCCAGAGCTGTGTGCAGGGTGTCTGTGTATCTGAGTAGGCATCGGTATTAATATCGGAGTGCCTAAGAAGTTCAGAATAAGCCTCCCACCCCCCTCCAGCAGCTGTTATCACAGCCAGGCAGCTAATGGCCTGCAAGGAAGAGAAGGAGGGACTTGGCAAGGGCTGGGCAGGGTTGGTCTTAAGGTGGAAATGGAAAATGAGCAAAGCTGTTCCAAGGAGCTCTCACATATTCAGCATCTCTACTTTTGAACTACACATGAGGGCCTCCACCTTCGTTACCTGGGTTTGCATGGGAATATTTTAACAAATCAAACACAGAAATAATCCTTAGAATGTGCTCTTTAACTACCACTATTCACTTTACCACATAATCACCAGACACACTACAAGAAGCACTGCCTGAACATCAAGCAAAAAGTGGGTGCTAGAAACAATATCATACGAAAGCTTACTGGCACAACCTGGGGATCACAACCAGACACAGTGAAGACATCTGCCCTTGTGCTATGCTACTCTGCTGCTGAGTATGCATGCCCAGTGTGGAACACATCTCACCACACTAAAACAGTGGATGTGGCTCTTAATGAGACATGCCACATTATCACAGGGTGTCTGCGCCCCACACCCAGAGGCGGCCCTAGGTAATTTTCAAAGGTAAGCAAACATTATTTTGGTGCCCCCCCCCAACCAATCACTGAAAAATAAAACGTAGAAGGTAGAGGTGAATAAAAGAGTTACCTTACAAACCAGAAATTTACTTACAACATTATGTTCATATAGTTACATTACACAAATTAACTTTTTTAAGAATGCAAATATTTTATTAAACTTAGCAACAATTTTAAGTTTTTGTTGTTATTTTTGGTCTACAAGTACTACACAAAGGTTTCCTGGTCATGCTGTCTCTTCAGAAGATTTTTCAGACTAGGGGTTTGCTAATAACAGAGAACTCAATCCCATGCTTGTTGGGTCTGTCAATCAGATTTGTTTTGGAGAACGCAGCCCCAGGAGAATAGACACCTCCTTTTTAAGAAAGTGAACTCTTGTCCTTCAAAAGTGCCATGCCAGCCTGGACCATTACAATGGGTGTGGCAACATAGTCAGCCTCTGGCCCCTTCACTTTAGTGGATACTTTAACATCCAGTTTTCCTTAACACAAATAAACATCTATCAGGAGTGCTTTGAATGCAATTTTCCTGCTTTTTGGCAGAGGGTTGGACAGGATGGCCCACAAGGTCTCTTCCAACTCGATGATTCTATGATCTGTCTGGAGTATTTGGATTGGGTATTCCTTAAAGCAGGAATAGAGAATGGCTGGCCCTTGGGATCCCTTCTAACTGGATGAATTCCTGAAGAGGGGAAAGCGAGAGCAATTGGAACCCCAGGTTATCTGCTTTAAACCGGATTATATGTCTGCACTGCCAGATAATCCGGGATAAACGGAAAACAGGGGATCAGATCTTGGGATATAGGGCCTGTCCAGCCCCCATCTTTCCACCAAACAGAGAGATAGAATTACTGCAGGAGCAACAGCAATAATGATGATGATAATAATAATAATAATAACAATAATAATAGTAAGTAAAGCTTATGATAGGTTCTCCCATCCTTTCTGCTCCAAATAATGATAATAGTAATTATTATTATTATTATTATTATTATTATTATTATTATTATTATTATTATTGACACTTGGGAAGTGTCTGACATGTGATCCAATACACCAGCCAGCATAGTGATCTTGTTTGCTATGTACTAATATGGTTGTGTTTCAAATACAGTATATTCTGGCGTATAAGACTACTTTTTAACCCAAGAAAATCTTCTCAAAAGTTAGGGGTCGTCTTATATGCGGGTGTAGTCTTATGCATGGGAGTCGTCTTAACTCTATATTTTAACTGGAAAAGTTGGGGGTCGTCTTATACGCCCAGTCGTCTTATATGCCGGAATATACGGTAATAATAAGTAAAGCTTATGGCAGGTTCTCCTTTCTGCCCCATATAACAACAACAGCAGCAGCAGCAGCAGCAACAAGTCAAGCTTATGGCAGGTTCTCCCATCCTTTCTGCCCCATATAACAACAACAACAACAACAACAGAGTTCTGGAGCACAATACTCCTGACCTCACGATTGTGTTAAAAAACAAAGTACGGATTGTGGATGTTGCAATCCCAGGTGACAGCAGGACTAATGAGAAACAACAGGAAAAGCTGACATGATATGAGGATTTAAAGATTGAACTGCAAAGACTCTGGCACAAGCCAGTCAAAGTGGTCCCAGTGGTGATCGGCACACTGGGTGCAGTGCCTAAAGACCTTGGCCTGCACTTAAAAACAATCAGCACTGACAAAATTACCATCTGTTAGCTGCAGAAGGCCACCTTACTGGGATCTGCACACATTATTCACCAATACATCTCACGGTCCTAGACACTTGGGAAGTGTCCGACGTGTGATCCAATACAACAGCCAGCAGAATGATTTTGTTTGCTGTATACTCATCTTGTTGTGTTTCCAATAAGAACAACAAGTCAAGGTTATGGCAGTCCCCCATACTTTCTGCCCCATATAACAACAACAACAACACCAACCAACCAACCAACCAACCAACCAACCAAAACAAACAGCAACAGTAAGTCAAGGTTATAGCAGGTTCCCTCATCCTTTCTGCCCCATATAATAAAATAATAACAATAACAATAATAATAATAATATAAGAACAACAGTAAGTCAAGTGGGGCCAGGAAGTTCTTGGAGGCAGAGGGGAAGAAAGCCGTGCTGCCCTTGGGTGATTTGGACTCCAACTCCCACTATTCCTCGCATATAAAATAATAATAATAATAATAATAATAATAATAATAATAATAATAATAAACAGTAAGTAAGTAGGGCCAGGAAGTTCTTGGAGGCAGAGGGGAAGAGAGCCATGCTGCCCTTGGGTGATTTGGACTCCAACTCCCACTATTCCTTGCAGCCTCAAGCCCTTTCCTTGTAAGTAGGTGACTAGAACTGACCTGGCCTTGAGCCCCTCCTGCTCCTCCCCGATCTTGAATAACTGGAGGCACGCGGGCGCCTCCTCACACTCGCGCAGGCACCAAGTGGAGGGAAACAGGAGCCCGCCTTCGTCGTCCAACTGTGGGGCGCATGCGCAGAGCAAGAAGGGAGGCGGCGGAGTGAGGGAGAGGGAGACAGAGAAAGGCTGCATCTCAGAGGGCCTGTGTGCGCCCTTGCAAAAAAAAAAACTATTCCGCCACCGCTTACCTCGCGTAATTGATAAACCGGCCCTGCCCACACCACTGGAGAAATTACACTGTTTAGCTGGTATTGCACCACCTGACATCTGCCGGGAAGTAGCAGCCGATAGTGAAAGGACCAAGGCAGAGACATCTCCAGCTCATCCCTTGTTTGAATATCAGCCAGCACGTCAATGACTTAAATCAAGAAATAGTTTTCTAAGATCTACAGAGACACTCGCTGGAACACCTCAGCAAGCGAGAGTCCAAAAGTGGCAGGCTCAAACCCAGAACCTCAATCAATGGCTGATACCAAATGAGAGACTCCCCCCTTGGCACACAGAAAACTGGGCGACTTGGAAGGCGCTGAACAGACTGCGCTCTGGCACCACGAGATACAGAGCCAACCTTAAGAAATGGGGCTACAAAGTGGAATCCACGACATGCGAGTGTGGAGAAGAGCAAACCACTGACCACTGCTGCAATGCAACCTGAGCCCTGCCACATGCACAATGGAGGAACTTCTTATAGTGACACCAGAGGCACTCCAAGTGGCCAGATACTGGCCAAAGGACATTTAATTAACTACCAAGTTTGCAAACTTGTGTTTTGTTTGTTTGTTTTTAATGCAATACAAACTGTGGTTCACTCCTGACACGATAAATAAATAAATCAATAGAGCCTGAGAGCATTCGACTCGTTCCTGAAAGGTGTGAGCAGCCAGGGAACCCAGCGAGTGGATACCTTATGCATGGAGAAATGATCTTGAAGGATTTTCCACGGACCCCACACTCATCTTGACATTTTGGGCTAGGTGGCAACTGGTTATGCCACAATTTTCCAAAATTGTGACCTCCACTTGCTGAATGATGTGTTCATCAAGAGCAGAGTGGGGTCGCCCTGGAATTGGAGCTGTTTCCACCGAAGTCCGACAGCATTGGAATGGACGGTGCCAGTTCTTGTCTCCACCATATGATGGGGAATTCTCACCACAAACCTCTTTCATCTCATCGAACGTCTCCTTTGGTGTGCAGCCTTTCAAGGAAAGGAACTTGAGGACTGTTCTGTATTCCACTTGGTCCATCTCAAACCTCACACCACTTCAGTACTTGTCAAATCAAGACCATTATCAGTTCTGGGTTGAAAATTGGCACATAACCTATAGAGACTTATATCATTACACATGTGCTGTTTCAACGTCCTGTGATAAATAGAAGTGGGTCAAGGGAAATCTTTAATGAATGTGCTGTTGCGCGCTGGGCCTATAGCAATTGGCTTTTGAACAGGACGTGCTCTTTGTGCCCAGCGGGAAGCCAGGGTGCCTCGGATGAGAGGCCCTATGGGTTTTCCTATACAAAGTCTTTAGAAGCTTAAAAGTTTAACAAATTTCATTATAGAATCATAGAATCAAAGAGTTGGAAGAGACCTCATGGGCCATCCAGTCCAACCCCATTCTGCCAAGAAGCAGGAATGTTGCATTCAAATCACCCCTGACAGATGGCCATCCAGCCTCTGTTTAAAAGCTTCCAAAGAAGGAGCCTCCACCACACTCCGGGGCAGAGAGTTCCACTGCTGAATGGCTCTCACAGTCAGGAAGTTCTTCCTCGTGTTCCTCTCTTGTAGTTTGAAGCCATTGTTCCGCGTCCTAGTCTCCAAGGAAGCAGTAAACAAGCTTGCTCCCTCCTCCCTGTGGCTTCCTCTCACATATTTATACATGGCTATCATATCTCCTCTCAGCCTCTCTTCTTCAGGCTAAACATGCCCAGCTCCTTAAGCCGCTCCTCATAGGGCTTGTTCTCCAGACCCTTGATCATTTTAGTCGCCCTCCTCTGGACACATTCCAGCTTGTCAATATCTCTCTTGAATTGTGGTGCCCAGAATTGGACACAATTATTCCAGATGTGGTCTAAC